ATAATAATAATAATAATAATAATAATAATAATAATAATAATAATAATAATAATAATAATAACATAATGGTAATTGCTGATAATAATGATTATAATAATAATGATTATTACTGATGGTATAATAATGATGATGACCGAGTTTACCCCCGCATCTCGCGCTCCTTCCCCTCAAATTCACTTTCGGTGAGAGGCAGAGGTAGTTGAAAAGTAGCCCGAGTGGTAGTAACTGCCAGCGGCAACCTACCGTTTGACAACACTCGCTGTGTCTCCCTCTTCCCGAGAATTGCTTAAATTCAAAGCAAGATGGTGACGAGTTTGGCATATACCAGTACCAGTGCCCTCGGAGCAAATGAACGAAACGTAGTTGGATCATTTATCTCATCTGATGAAGCCGAATTGAAAACAGCGAAACTTCCCATCGCACGGTGTCTGCGAGCCACAATTTTATAAATAAATGACCAGCGCACCGACTGCCGGTGCGAAGATGCGTTTTTTGCATAGTTCCCCGCAGGTTTTTGTCGCTAACGGCACCGATTTTTCCGACGGATGCTTCTAGCTAATATAATTGAGGCTAGTCACCAGGGCTGTCTGAAAACAACACTTTAAAATCTCAGCTTTCTAGCTTTTCTGGTTCCCGAGTTAGCAACTCATTCAAAAAAAAAAAAACTTTGGTAGCTTCGTACATGAGTGCCATGTGGGTAAGAGCGCCCATTTTGGAGATGGGGCCCGTACACGCAGGTAGATTAAGTTCCCAAAGTTTTAGCCCTGCAAGTTTGGTAGGTCTCGAGATGAGAAATCGGTACAGACGAACACACAGACACACACAGACAACCCCTTGTCAGTATGCGTTTTCTACATTGCACAGATGCAAAAAACGCATGGAAATATATGTATTAGTTTAAAAAAATAATATGAATAGTGATGACTGGAATCGTGATAATGCCAACGGTAGCATAATGAGAATAGATTAAAAAGATGAAACGAATTTAAATGTTTTTTTTTTGCCTTGTTTTTATTGGTATTGCGTTTGCGTGCGTGCAGGACGCTTTTTTCACCAGTGGCTTATTCTGTTCAGATTTTCTTCTTAATCTCGTCGTTTGGGACACTCTATCTGATGTGGATAAAGTTTCGTGCAACATACGATCGAAATCATGATACATTTCGCATCGAGTTCTTGGTCATCCCATGCATTGCTCTTGCGCTTCTCATCAATCACGAATTCACGGTCATGGAAGTGGGTTATTTTAACTTATCGAACTGCCTGGTAAT